TGGGTAAGACTTGGAAAGGCAAAAAGGTGTAGGCTGGAGAACATTCTCGGCAGCTGGAAAAGCATGGGTAATGTCCCTGTCGCTGCAGGGTGGTGAGTCAGGAGAAGGAAGCAGCACAGGATGAGGCTAGTGGGACAGTAGGGGCCAGACTGTGCAAGGGACAGGAGGCATGCTGGGAGCGCTGGGCTTTCTACTGAGCCGCTGCCAGATTTCCAGCAGGGAGTGCTGTGATGAGGTTTGGGCTGTGTGAGGAAGCCTGTGAGGAATACACAGAGCGGAGGCCCAGTTTTTCCTGTGAGAGCCTTGGAAGGTGTGAAAAGAGTGGTTGGTTGTTTCCAACTCTCAGCCCTGGTGTTCCTTTCACACGACCTCAATAGTGTTCTTTTTTTCCTTTTTTTTTTTTTTTGAAACTGAGTCTTGCTCTTGTCACCGAGGCTGGAGTGCAATGGCAACTGCAACTCCGCCTCCTGGGTTCAGGCAATTCTCCTGCCTCACTCAGCCTCCCAAGTAGCTAGAATGTGCCACCATGCCCAGCTAAGTATTGTATTTTTAGTAAAGATGGGGTTTCATCTCTACATTCATCAGCTACATTCATGTGGCTGGGTACAGTGGCTCACTCCTCTAATCCCAGGCTGGTCTCGAACTCCTGATCTCAGGTGATCCACCCCCTTGGCCTCCCAAAGTGCTGGGATTACAGGCATGAACCACCATGCCTGGACTTTTTTTTTTTTTTTTTGAGACTTAGTCTTGCTCTTGTTGACCAGGCAGTAATGCAATGGTTCGATCTCAGCTCACTGTAACCTCCGTCTCCCGGGTTCAAGTGATTCTCCTGTCTCAGCCTTCTGAGTAGATGGAATTAGAATTACAGGCATGTGCCACCACACCCAGCTAATTACTGTATTTTTAGTAGAGATGGGGTTTCACCATGTTGTTCAGGCTGGTCTCAAACTCTTGACCTCAGGTGATCTGCCCCCTCGGCCTCCCAAAGTGCTGGGATTACAGGCGTGAGCCACTGTGCCCGGCCCCCAGTAGTCTTCTAATCTGTAGTCCTGTTCCCATTCCCATTCTTAGGAACCTCTCCTCCTGCTAGACTAACAGGAATAAGACTAGGAAAAGAAGGAGCTGGGGTGGAGAATAACAATTATTTTTTCTTCTGTATGTTCTCTCTCCCTTCCCCCTCACATTCATCTCCTCTCACCTCCATAGATGCCCTCTTCCTCAAGCACCATCTCACATGCATAAAACTGAAAGAGAAAAGGAAATTGATTAGTAACTACCTTCTTCCCTGTTCTCTCCACTTCTCGGGATTCCTCCGTGGTCACTGATGAGGACAATAATTACCGAACCCAGTGAAAGACAAGAGAACCCACACTCTTAGACCTGGAAAGGACCATCAGAATGATTCAGCCCAGCACTTCATTTCTTTCTCATCCATTTAATTTATGTTTCAGTAAATTGCTTCTTATCTCCCTGAGAGAATGGAAGAGCTTTACAAAGGAGGAGTTCAGCTGTCTTCAAAAGGTGAGTTGGACAGGCAGTGATGAGAGGAACAGCATGAAGTGCTCTGGAAATTGTGGAGAAGCAGGTGGGAGGGAAAGAGCTGTGCAAGGGAGACTGAATTCTGTTTAGGACATGCCCACGGGACCTCGGGAGACACAGACACAGACTTGGGGTTCAGTAGCATATAAGTGGTGTTTAAAGTGGATGATGTGCCTGGGTGCAGTGGCTCATTCCTGTAATCCCAGAACTTTGAGAGGCTGAGGCAGGTGAATCACTTGAGCCCAGAACTAGAACAGTCTGGGCAACAGAGTGAGACCCCACCTCTACAAAGCAATGCAAAAATTAGCCGGGCATGGTGGTGTGTGCCTGTAGTCCCAGCTACTCAGGAGGCTGAGGTGGGAGGATCACTTGAGTCTAGGGGGTCGAGGCTGCAGTGAGCTGATACTGGGCCCCTGCATTCCAGCCTGGGCCACAGAGTGAGACCCTGTCTCAAATAAATAAATAACAAAGTGGATGGTCTGTCCAAGAGAAAAGAACACACAGAGGAGAGCAAATGACAGGACTCTAGGGAACACCAAGATGAAAGGGGGCCAGAGTACAGGGCAGGGCGGAGAAGACTGAGAAAGAATACCCAGAGACGCAGGGGCAGAGGCAAACAGCAACAGTCAAGGCAGGGAAGGTCAGAGGTGCAAGGAAGACCAGGCAACAGTGTCAAACGCCAGGGCAGTTAGTAGGATTCATCAAATAGACACCACTGGATTTGACAACAGAGGCCTGAGGGAGGCTAGATGAAACGAAGAAGGTGGAGATGAGGAAGCAGAAGCAGCGGCAGTAGAACGTTCTTTACAGAAGCCTGACCATGAAAGAAGGGGGAGTCCTGACGGGGGAGGAGATGAAATGGGAGACACCATTCAGAAGGGATGGATGTGTGTGAAGGCAGAAGAGAAAGGCTACCTGGTAAAGCAAGATAATGGAGAAGGAAGGCAGAAGGGGGGCCAGGAACTGGCATGGAACGGCTCATCTTAGAAAAGGCCATGATCTCTTCCTCCTTTGAGAGAAATGGCGAAAGAGTGAATATTTGAAAGTAATGGGAAAGACTGCTGAGGGCACTCACATTTGATAATGAGATGACGTTATGAACAGCTAATGTTTTAAGCACTTAAAATGGACTAGGCATGGTTCTTAGCGTTTTACAAGAATCACTTGTCTTCATCTTTATACTGGCTCTATGAGATGTAACCAATGCTACCTGCTCCTTATTTTATAGTTACACAGAAGAATCCTATTCATCTCTCACTCATTTCTGCCAGGAAAACTAAAATCTACACGTCTGCTTTTAGCTTTTAATGCTAAGTAATGGAATTCCAGAGCCAGGTCTGAAAATTGCCAGTCTTCATAATTATCAAAGGGAGTCTCAAGGAAGAGATAGAGATGCCTCCTAATACGAAATTAGGTCAAAAAATTTGATTAAATAAGGTTGTTAAGTGGAGAACACTCATAAAAATACAAATTTTGTTTTTCTGTGTAATGTAGAGGCTAATAGGGTTATTTTAACTTGTAGGATTATTCCCTGTTAATACAAATCTGTCCTTGGCCAGTCACAGTGCTCATAACTGTAATCCTAGCACTTTGGGAGGCAGAAGTGGGCGGATTGCCTGAGATCAGGAGTTCAAGACCAGCCTGAGCAATCTGGCAAAACCAACCTCTATTAAAAATACAGAAAATTAGGCCGGGCACAGCGGCTCATGCCAGTGGCTCAGGCCTAGCCCTTTGGGAGGCTGAGGAAGGCGGATCACGAGGTCAGGAGATTGAGACCATCCTAGCTAACAAGGTGAAATCCTGTCTCCACTAAAAATACAAAAAATTAGCTGTGCGTGGTGGCACGCACCTGTAGTCCCAGCTCCTCGGAAGGCTGAGGCAAAAGAATCCCTTGAACCCAGGAGGCGGAGGTTGCAGTGAGCTAAGACTGTGCCACTGCACTCTAGCCTGGGCAAGAGAGTGAGACGCTGTCTCAAACAAACAAACAAAAATTAGCCAGGCATGGTGGCGCACACCTGTAGTTCCAGCTGCTCGGGAGGCTGAGGCGGGAGAATTGCTTGAACCCAGGAGGTGGAGGTTGCAGTGAGCTGAGATCGCACCACTGCACTCCAGCCTGGGTGACAGAGCAAGGCTGTCCTGCTCCACCCCCCAGAAAAATCTGTCCTTGAACGTATAGTTCGAAAAATAAAAAGGTTTCATCAAAGTCCGTAAACCAGAAATTATTGCCATGGCTCCTTTAATAACATTCAGAAGTATCTATAACTCCGAGTGGTTGTCCTACTCAATAATTTCTTGCCCTGGTAATAATACTTCACATGCTTGTATTCCTAAGCAGGATAAATATTTCTAAGATTGTGTTATCAATTCTCAAGTGACATTCAAAGGAAGGTCACTGGCTCTTTCCGCTTATTCCTTTTACAGAAGGAGAAAACAATACACGCCGAGGGTACCACTTGATTTCTTTTTTGTTTTTTGTTTTTTTTGTTTTTTTTTTTGAGACGGAGTTTCGCTCTTGTTACCCAGGCTGGAGTGCAATGGCGCGATCTCGGCTCACCGCAACCTCCGCTTCCTGGGTTCAGGCAATTCTCCTGCCTCAGCCTCCTGAGTAGCTGGGATTACAGGCACGCACCACCATGCCCAGCTAATTTTTTGTATTTTTAGTAGAGACGGGGTTTCACCATGTTGACCAGGATGGTCTCGATCTCTTGATCTCGTGATCCACCCGCCTCGGCCTCCCAAAGTGCTGGGATTACAGGCTTGAGCCACCGCGCCCGGCACCACTTGATTTCTTATTTCAACAGAGACTCAAAGTCATCTCACTTAAATTAAGAGATAAGTACTATCATCAATTCTATCTTCCAGGTGAGAAAACTGGGACACAGAACAGCTCAGTCCCTGACCCAAGACCACACAGGTAAAAGACCTCAAGGGCAGATTTTATCCAGACAGCCTGGCTTCAGAGGCTTCAGTCCTTAGTTACTGCTTCTGTTTTCTCTAGAATTTTCTTAGAAAATTGAAAAGGAATAAATCCCTGTCCTTCCTACTCTAGTTTCTACCTTCTCTAAGTGTGCAAGCACTGCGTGCTACAGCTTTACAGGCCTATGGCTGGTAAGGTAAAGGCCTGGAACATCATTCCTCCCATTGCTGGGATTGAGGATGCAGCTAGCTGATGTGGAGGTGAGAGAAGAGCTCAATGCAATCAAGAAAGGGAGGGACTATGATGGACCTCCACATCTGTACTGCAATTACTGAGGTAAAGAAGTCAGCGCTCAGGCCGGGCGCAGTGGCTCACGCCTGTAATCCAAGCACTTTGGAGGCCAAGGTGGGCGGACCACCTGAGGTCGGGAGTTCAAAACCAGCCTGACCAACATGGTGAAACCCTGTCTTAAAAAAAAAAAAAAGTCAGCACTCTAGCCAGCCATGCTAACTCACTGTGTGAGCATGGGCATCAGTTCCCTCAGCTGCTCAAAGTTGGGGTGGAGTAAAACAGTCTCTAAGGTTCCCTTTCTGTGCAAGAAAAAGCTTTTCCAATATAAGGTGGCATGGTTCTAGTAACCTGGGGCAGCCCAGCCACATCCCTATAAGCATGGGGAGTAGGGGGAGGGAGGGTGATGATTTGTCGTGTTGACTACGAAAGGGATACAGGGAGAAAATCACTGAAAAGCTGTAGCACTGCACCATTACTACCCTAGATCTGTGTTAGGGACACAGGGCAGGTTCTGCTTTGCAAGGGTGAAGCTTTTCATTTAGAGAAATCTATGCAGAGGCCTCCTCTAACGGGTCCTCAATACTTTATTTGGGACAGTAAGATGACAGGCCCTCTGCTAAACAAATGAGGATACGTTAATGAAAAGAGAGTGACAGGTATTTGGCTCAGTCATACATCATTTGCTTTAAGGGAGTGCTATGGTTTGAATGTGGCCCCCGAAAGTTCATGTGTTGGAAACTTAATCCCCAGTGCAGCAGTGCTGGGTCATGAGGGAGGCATTCTCATGAATGGATTCAGGTCCTTATGGCAGGAGTGGGGGGCTATAAGGCAAGGCCGGCCCTGAGCGCCTCTCAGTGTCACGTGCTGGCTTCTACCTCCCAGCCTTCCACCACGGGATGATGCTTGCCAGATGCAGCCCCATGCTCTCGGACTTCACTACCTCCCCAGACCATGAGCTGAAGAAATTTCTGTTCATTATAAATCACCCAGTCTCAGGTACTCTGTTACAGCCACAGAAAGCGAACGGAGACAGGGAGGTAGTGCTGTTGGCCCCTTACCCCTGCCTAGTCCTCAGCCCTGTTCTACCTTATCCCACTTCCTCCAGGACCCAAACCCACCTTCTGGGGGCTGAAGATCACTTTGTATTTGCGAGTTCGGCCAGCCACTTTGTCAGCATTGACAAGACCTACAGAGAGAAGGAATGCAGCCAAGCAAGCCATGAGCCATCTGTTACACAGCAGCAGGGAAGCAGATACCCTCCACTGGTGCTCCCGCCAACCCAGAAGATTCTTTCCTTGTTAGAGGGTCCTTATGGCCAAGGCCCTTAAATTTTGCCCACCCTTTCCCACAATTACCCATAGTACCATGGCACACTCACTGGCAATGTATCGCATATTCTTGATACGGGGTCTGACCAAGAAGCACAATCTATGAGAGAGAAAGAAAAAAAAACAGTGAAGAAAAATTACCATTGGATAGCAACTTAGAAGCAGCCAAAACAATACCAGCTCTTTGGCCATTTGCCTACAGATCTCACCCCCGCCAAAGCTATGCTGTTCTCTTGGTCCACCAGATGCCAACCACAGAAGACACCTCTCAACATAACAGGTATAATGTGATGAGCTGGTACTGACCCTATGGTGGACCCAGGAGTTCCTGTTCTCAAGTAACTTACAATCCAGTGGGCAAAGAAAGATGCATACATATGCAGAATATTAACAACCAAGTGTCAAAAACCAATACAGGATAGACCATAAAAACACACAATTATTATTCATCAGTTAAAAATCAAATAAGACCAGGTGAGGTGGCTCATGCCTATAATCCCAGCACTTTGGGAGGCTGAGGCAGGCGGATCACCTGAGATCAAGAGTTCAAGATCGGCCTGACCAACATGGAGAAACCCTGTTTCTACTAAAAATACAAAATTAGCTGGGCGTGGTGGGGCATGCCTATAATTCCTGCTACTTGGGAGGTTGAAGCAGGAGAATCACTTGAACCCGGGAGGTGGAGGTTGTGGTGGGCCAAGATCACGCCATTGCATTCCAGCCTGGGCAAAGAGCAAAACTCCATCTAAATAAAATAAAATAAAATAAAATACAGGCTCACATCTGTAATCCTAGCACTCTGGGAGGCCAAGGTGGGAAGATTGCTTGAGCTCAGGAGTCTGAAACCAGCTTGGGCAATAGAGTGAGACCTCATCTCTATTAAAAATAATAACAGGGCTGGGCGTGGTGGCTCACACCTGTAATCCAAGCACTTTGGAGGCCAAGGCGGGCAGATCACCTGAGGTCGGGAGTTCAAGACCAGCCTGACCAACATGGTGAAACCCCGTCTTTGTAATAAATAAAAAATTTTAAAAAATAATAATAACAGCAGGCTGGGCGTGGTTGCTCCCAGCACTTTGGGGGGTTGAGGCCGGTCGATCACCTGAGGTCAGGAGTTCAAGACAAGCCTGGCCAACATGGTGAAACCCTGTCTCTATTAAAAATACAAATATCAGCCAGGCATAGTGGCAGGTGCCTGTAATTCCAGCTACTCAGGAGGCTGAGGCAGGAGAATCACTTGAACCCAGGAGGTGAAGGCTGCAGTGAGCCAAGATCGTGCCATTATACTTCAGCCTGGGCAACAAGAGCAAAACTCCATCTCAAAAATAATAACAATAATAATGGTAAAATAAAATAAAATATACTATAGAGCCTGGTGAGGTGACTCATACCTATAATCCCAGCATTCTGGTAAGCCAAGGCGGGTGGATTACCTAAGGTCAAAAGTTCGAGACCAGCCTGGCCAATATTGCGAAGCCCCTTCTGTATACAAAAATTAGCCAGGCGTGGTGGCAGGCACCTGTAATCACAGCTAGTCAGGAGGCTGAGGCAGGAGAATCGCTTGAACCCAGGAGGCAAAGGTTGCAGTGAGCAGAGATCCCACCACTGTAGTCCAGCCTGGGTGACAGAGTCTCTGACTCAAAAAAATAAAATAAAACTGTAGGTGTACACAGTGGTGCCACACCTGTAATCCCAGTTGCTCAGGAGGCTGAAGTAGGAGGATCCTTTGAGCCGAGGAGCTTACTCCAGCCTGCACAACAGGGTGAGACCCTGTCTCTGAAAATAAATGAATTTAATTTAAAAAATTTAAAAATACTGGCCAGGTGCAGTGGCTCACGCCTGTAATCCCAGCATTTTAGGAGGCCAAGGCAGGTGGCTCACCTGCGGTCAGGAGTTCAAGACCAGCCTGACCAATATGGTGAAACCCTGTCTCTAATAAAAATACAAAATTACTGGCCGGGCGCGGTGGCTCAAGCTTGTAATCCCAGCACTTTGGGAGGCCGAGGCGGGTGGATCACGAGGTCAAGAGATCGAGACCATCCTGGTCAACATGGTGAAACCCCGTCTCTACTAAAAATACAAAA